CTTCTTATTTGCAACATAGTATATAGTTGCTTAGAGTTGCAACTGAGAGGCTGGCAAGTTAGGCGGGGAATGTTGGAGTCTGCAGCAAGCAAGCCTCGTGCTCGCTTCAGTGCCTGGCTGCCGGCCGCCATCTTGGCTGACAGTTAATTTGCATATACTCACTGATTAGCCAATGAAAAGGGGAGCGGTCGTACGCCAATTACCATGTTTCTCTTTTATTAGTGTAGATATAAATAACCAAAATTCTTTAAATATAACTAAGGTCAGATTTGGTTCACTCCCCTTACACCCATAACTACAGTAAAAATTAGATAGTAATCAAAAGTGAAGATAAGGAAAGACCAAAACATCATATTTGTTTTATAAAATGAGAATTGCCATCTTCCATTTCTAGTTATTTAAAAATCCATAACTGTCCATTAGTTTAAATTTCCCACTCTGCAATTCCAGAAGTAGAAATTCTATCATTTCCTCTTGGTTATACTCATCCTATGTGTATATATAATACTCAATAATAAATGATGACTTCAAAATCCCAATTTTTAAAAATTCCAATAAAATTAGGTTGCTTCACATAGAAAATCAGAGTCACCCTAAGGTGTCTTAGTTTTATTCCAGTGGCTCTTGCTTACAATATCACCTAGTCCATCCTCTATTTCCCCTGAAGATAGAGACCCACGTGTCATGTGCCTCACATACTGCGTGGTCATAAATCTCACCATCACATTTGCTGTGAATGGAGACGAGTGGTCTGGGTGAGCACCAACTGTAAGTTATGCATAGCTCTGCTTCCCTCTGGTGAGCGCTACAATAAATACAGACGATAAATATCTAGGACGTGTGAGCTTTCAGTCCTCAGCTGGGAAGTATTAAACTACAATTTCTTCCCAACTCTTCGGGAAAGTTCTGTATGCCCAGATGAAGTAGGAGGTTAAAATTAAATTGTCACATATTAGCTGGTAAGTAACCGCAGTTACTAAAAAATGACTCTTCCCAGGGAACTAGTCCCAAGTCCAATTTGAGTTGAGAATGTTTTTTAAAAAAATTTTAAATTAGGTTTTAAGAGAAATTTTAAAAAGCACATTTTTCTAAAATTTAAGTCCCTGGAACTTGAAATATTATGAATTAGAGACTTTTGTGCTTTAGGCTTGCAATTTCTCTTGTGAAAGATATTTTATATGAACCTAATACAAATGTTCATAACTTCTGCTAATATAATGAAAGAATAAAAGTACTATTGAACAAAAACTGAGGAGTCAACATTTTTAAAAAATATATTTTTTTTGATTTCGGAGAGGAAGAGAGAGAGAGAAATATCAATGATGAGAGAGAATTATTGATCTACTGCCTCCTGCCCGTCCCCTACTGGGGTTCAAGTCCACAACCCAGGCCTGTGCCCTGACCAGGAATCGAACCAGTGACCTTTCGGTTCTGGGGTTGACACTCAACCGCTGAGCCACACCCAGCTGGGCCAGGTGTCACCATTTTTAAGTGCAGAAACAGTGGAAGGGGGTGCGGACGATCCAAAGATCAGGCCAGCACGAGGAGCGAAAGATCCATTCAGGGAAGCCAATCAGCTGAGGAACAGGAGTAGGGAAGGATGCTGACAGTGAGCGGCCTGATGCCAAGAGAGGATAATATAAAGCAAGAGGACAAGCAAGAAGCTGCGAGCCACCCAAACAAAACCCCGGGAGCCTTCGAGTGAGGTTGGCCCTCTGTGATAGGACTAGCCACCTGTGATAAGATACCAAACCAAAATACTGATTAAACACTGGTTATCGATGGCTCTTGGTGTGTGACCAATGATTCCATATTGCAACACAGCATTTACTTTACTTTGTTTTAATCTTAATATATACGCCAGATCAAAGTGAAAAAAAATATTAAGGCTTAAAACTATTGGAATTAAGAAATAGGTTTACTCTTTCTCTTACAATGGACATCACCTTTGAGAAAGATTTGGTTCTACTAAGCAAATCTTTACAGCCCTGGCCAGTGTGGCTCAATTGGTTGGGCATTGCCCTGTGCACAGAAAGGTTGCTGGTTAGATTCCCTGTCAGGGCACATGCCCAGGTTGCAGGCACCGTCCCTGGTAGGGGTATGCAGGAGGCAGCTGATGAATGGTTCTCTCTCTCTCCTGACCCCATCTCCTCTCTCTAAAAATCATTTTAAAAAAACCATTTAAAATTAATTTAAAAATAATTACGTATACAGCATTTCCATTAAAGCTTTTTCTTTTAAACCTAGGGTTCCAGCTCCTAGTTTTCGGAATCCCAGCTGCTTCGGAACGCCCTGATTATACTCATCTAACCATTCGGTGAAGGCATAACCGAATTCTCAAAGGCCAGGCCAGTGAACAGTCAATCACGATGAACTGATAGGTCATCAGAGGTGACTGCGTTAATGTCGGGCCTGAAGGCCCCATTTCCCCAGCAGTGGCCACGGGGGTGTCTTCCCCCTCCCCCCGAGCAACCCCTGGAAATGGTGGAAATGGCCGCAGGTCTGAGGAGCTGGGAGATTGTGCTTCCCCACCCAGTACCCTCAGTCCTCAGGGACCTTCTCTCCTGGGAAATTCCTTTAT